AGTTGGGACAAGGCCCAAACGGACGTGAGGCGGGCTGCGAGATGCCGATCCGACGTTAGCCACTTGGGCGTCTATGCCGCCAACCAATTACATCGTCTGTTTATAGCAATTACGGTAATAGTTACGGTTACGTTACGGTACGGTTACGTTTACACTATGTTCGCGGCGGCCACGGCAGCCCGTTTGCCCGAAACTTAGTGCGCCGTGCGGATTATGCCATTTTTTTCTTGTATTCAAGTTTTGTTAGGTCTGCCAAGTTTTTCTCACGGTCTATCACGGTATCCGTGACGGCGTGGGAGGAAGGGGCTGCTTGAGTCCCGGGGGCCGCTCCAAGGCCGCCACTACGGTTCGGTCCGCGGTTTTACACGGATGCAGTACGCTTTCCCTTGCGGCCCGTCACGTTCTGATGGCGTTATCCTCACGTCTTCTCACGATCTGATCAAGGTCTGACACGTTTATCACGTTCTGTCAAGGCTTTCTACGGATGTGAATACGTGGTACGCCGTGGGCAGCTTTGGAGCACGTTTGTGCCCACGCTTATAAAAAGAAGCTCCAAAGCAATAGCAATCATTGTATCCTGAGATTTCGACGAGGACAACATCATGAATGTCCAAGATGAAGAATATTGTGTGTTGCATGTTTGCTGGCGTGCCATTACATCCAGTCTTGCATCATGCAGAAACAAGGCGCAGCAGTTTGCAGAAAGGGCAAGGCCAGAGTGTAGCAGTCAGGAAGAAGGCGAAGAAGTGCGGGATAAAAAGGCCAAACCATGTGGGGCGTGACCGCGAATGCCTTATCGAAAGACAGAAGCAGCAGCTGGGCACTACTCAACATTTTAGTTTTAGCTTTTAGTTTTAGTCAGTTTTAGGACCTGCGCGCGCCGTCGTCAGTCCGTAAGTAGACGCAACGCGCCGTCAGCGCGGCCGGGCGAACCCGTCCTGTACCCGTTCCGTCTCCACTACGGACGCCCTCGCAAGTTTTGTTACGGCCTATTACGTACTGTCACGTTTTAGTTGCGTTTCACCCCGTTTGACTACGCCTACTAGGTTTCTCATCCGCCCCCGTGACTGCCATGGCAAATCTGTTGGCAGATTAAAAAGCTGGCGCAGCAGTCCACGGCAATCACGGCCTGTCACGTTTTGCCATCGTCCTCCCGCGTCGTTCACGTCCATCCGTTTTGTCCACGCGTGCCTGAAACGGGGCTGCCTGTGGCCGCCGAGAACATAGCTGTAAACGCTAGGCATATACGTATAGCAGTTACGCGCAAGCGTTTTATGCCGTTATACTAGTCGCACTCTAGTACCTGCGCTAGCGCGCAAATGAGCTCAGCAACGTTGCTAGCTTAGCAGAGTGCCTATAGCTAGCAGTGCTAGGCGCAATGAGCGCCTGGCCCAGAGAAGCCTCGATCTCTGGAACACATTACTGCCTACATTTAAAAATATGTGTTCCATGCAAATCTCTCACGCCTGCCCTGCGGACGGCTTCTGCGGCAGCTCCCTGGACGTTTAGTCATACGGACGACCGAGTATAGAAGTAGAAGTAGAGTAGAATTAGCCAGTAGAAGGTTAAAGTAGAAGTTTTGTATCTGGTTGTGCTCATAAAGCCGGCTAATAGTAATAGCATTATAGTCAACAGTGTATAGGCACATTATCTGCTGAATGGCACCGGTGACGTGTAGCTGCCGGGCCTATATATACCGGACAGAGGTGCTCAGACCGCATGCCTAGCAACGGCTCTTGCTCTCCCGTGCTTTTAAATGGCATGCCATTAAGCGTGCGTTCCAGCATCCCGATAAACCCCCGCACGACTATTACTTTGAATACACTGAGCTCTTTCAATTGCCCAGCTCGGGTATATTTATACAGAGTCGCATTCGAAATGGGTAGATGGCTTGCAGCGGGCTAATGCGCATATTATGTTCTATACCTAGTGTTTATGTTCAATTTCCATCCCTTTTAACTCTTATAAAAGCAATAGCTTTTGAAGCGCTTCGAAAATTGTCGAATAAATGCTGTCATGTTTAGCAGTAACTGGCGTGAATAAAGAGAGCATTCTTCCGTCACTCCATCCCCCGCAAAAACGACTAACTCCCAATGATCTGCTATCCGGTAAACAAAGGATCCAGTAAATTCTTGACGTCTGCATATAGAGCAGTCACGAGCGCTAAATACACCCACGAGATACAAGCATTATGCCAAAACGCGTTTTGTGCTGTTAGGCTATTACGTGCTATAGGAGGCATATAACAAGTAAGCCTCCGCGATTGTTCACCGCGATTGTTTGCCACTATTTCGTCTCTAGAAAAGGCCTTTTTTGGCTTTTTTTTCCGCCGAAATTCGCACTAGAGTGCAATATAATTAGATTATGCACGCAAGTTGGATGGCCTCGTGCATGTCGAGAAAGCATTAGAAGTAAAATTATTTTTGTTGTGTATTGCGTGACATTCCGTCATGTGGCCGTAGTCACAGCGACGGTTGGTGTTTTTGTGCTGTATGAAATGTGTTCAGACAACTTTGCAGAAATTCGCATCATAGAGCTGGCAAAAGTTTCGAAGGGAGCATAGAGCATGAATCTGTAGTTATTTAACATGAATAAAGTGTATGTTTTGTAAGTGCAGTAACAGTGTGAGTATTTTTAATTAATTTCTGTTCGATGCTTATTCAGGCCTGCATGCGCTCTTGTCGAGTGTATCTGGTGACGCCATCGTTAGGTGGAGTTTATTCCGACAAGTCAGCTCGACTTACATATAACACGCACGCACACACGCGCGCGTGCGCACACGTGTTATATGGTGTATACATCTCTTTCTCGTATTTTTCTACGATCGAGTTCGAGTTGGCTCCATTGCGGCGTTGCGTTAGCGCGCGTGAATTATCGTAGGAACAAGCAGACGTCGCTTTCTAGCCCACATTTGTCTCCGTCGCCGATCGTCTGCGGCGTTGTTAGAAGGCTTTCCAGTGAATGTCTGGCGACTCGCAAATACGTAGCGTCGTCCGTACGCTAGTTTCCGTTTTACACCGCGGCCTAGGCAAACCGACTGGTGAACCAATCAGAGTCTATGTATTCACTCGACTTCGCTCTTATTTAGCATATGTCATGTGTGAATTTCTATATCGCTGTATAGGCTAGCAGGTAGCGCGCCGGCGTTACGTCTCAATAGTCGTTAGTTCGAATCCCGTATGTTTTTTAATTATTTTCCTGTTTTCTGTATTTAGAAAAATAATACTAAACAGGTAGGTAAAGGGAAAAAAAGGAAAAAAGCGGGAAAATAAATACCGCAGCTGGGACTCGAACCCAGAATCCCGCTGTAGGAGACGGATGTTCTAGCGATTAGGCCACTGCGCCGTTAAGCGTATAGTGCCGTATACACCATAGATTCACACGTACGTGATGTTAATCTGTACGCACCACCATCTATTGATGAATAGAATTTTTATTACTTTTTTACTTTTTTACTTTAAGTTTCAGCTAGAACCACCTCGCAGACTTGCTGATTCTGAAAATATCTTTAGTTTTCCTTTAGGCTGCGGAGTTCTTTAGTTATGCGAAGACGAACTAGTTCGGCTGAACAACTTTATATATATAGAAGATATATGCGGCCGTCTACAGGTGTGTTTTGTACGTGCGTGCGCATTAGAAACATGGCGGATATAGCGGTATAATAACTCACAGATACTTATTATATACACGCACACACCACGTAAACGCACAAAAGCACGCACACATACGTACAGGAGTGTTAGAATATAATATAATACTCTATATATGTCTCTATATATGACTCTTATAATGTCTATGTTATGATACTCCTGATACGTAGATATCTTCATAATTACATCTGCAGCCATACATAGCATATAGCATATTGTTTGCATACCGTAACCGTAACAGCTAGCTAGACTAGGTTTTAGGAAGTGATGGGACAACCCATAGAAATAATATACGTACTAGTTTTAATGGTGTCTCTCTATATTTTTATGGAACAATCCCAATTCCCTGAAACGTGTTACTATAGATTTATCGAAGGGTTGTGTCAACACGCGCAAACCTGTCTTATCACAAAGATTAGACGAAAAGATGTCAAAATCGCCAAATATATATTAGGTTAATAAAACAAACATGCCTAATAGTTTTGCTGAAAATCCCGCGTAAGCCTTTTGCCACGCATTACTTACCGTGGTGGTGGGGGGGGGGCAATTCTTATCAAATTATAGGCTCCTAATGTATGCTGCTCTGCTGAGACTGTATACAGGTCAAGCTGTAGTACTACTGATATCAGGAGTAAGATAATATAGGATATTATCTACCCTATATTATCTTACTCCTGCTGATATGCATGCTTTTGATGCTATACATGTATACACTATGCAATCAGGAGTGTATCAATACTCCTGATGCACTCCTTGATACACCCTGATACACCTTGCACACCAATTGATACACTCCTGATGCAATGTATACCATAACACTACCTTACGGATGGCATATTTGACTGAGAACGAACCAGCGTCGGTCCTACCTATAACAGCATAGGAACGTCAACCTAACTCCCGACCATAAATAATGCAACAAATCTGCGAATATAGGATATGACATGATATATAGACTCGAATAACTGGGCCCGATTCCCGTAGTTAGCACCGCTGTTAATAATAATAATAATCAATACGCGCCATATTACCATATACCAAATACATGTAGCATATAGCATATACCATATACATAATACCAGGAGTAAGATAATATAGGATCCTATATTATCTTACTCCTGATAATACCAATATGCAACAACTCTGCGAATATAGCTAGGGATATGACGAAGCTCTTAGTCCTATAGGCCCGCGCGATCGCTGCCCAGAGCCCTGCGGCAGCGCATGCGCTGGCTATAGTTACTAGAGCTAGCATATGACATGATATACTATGACTCGGAAGAACGGGCCGCATGCCCTAGTTAGCACCGCCTGTTTGATAATACTGATAATCAATAGGCGCCATATTACCTGAGACGAATCTCCAGAGTTATGTTTAGTCGTTCTCACTGTCGAAGACATTGCAGCTGAACTGGTAGTAAGAGAGTAAAACGAACACGACGGAAGCGGCAGCAGCGTATCTCAGTTGAACCGCCATCGTCTGCTGCTGACGAAATAAGCTCCCGCCAACCTTGAAGCGGTCAACACACACACACACACACACACAGCACACACACACACACACACACACACACACACCACACACACACACACACACACACACAGAGATGGACTTTCCCCGCTCTCAGCGCGGATCCTAGCCTTTAGCTCCCGGCGTCAGATATTTCTCTCCGTGTGCTAAATATTACACACACAGACGTTCGCTGCCCGACACGGTATAACATTAGGTGCACCCAGTGCTGCCCACTATGAAATATATATATATATATTATATATTATATATATATATATACTATATATATATATTACCTATATATATATATATTTCAGATAATATAGGTCAGTGGGCGCTGCTTTACGCGCGCAGTCCGCCCCCGCCATCGCGCTGCCCCTATTCTCACCTCTTTAGCTCGATAAACTCGCGCCTATTGATGCTGCTTGCCTCGTGTACGGCGGTTGGTGGGGCAGGGGGAGAGCAGCGCTGCCAAGGTTACACGTTTTCAATGTGGGCTTAGTAACCACACGAGTACATAACAGAGTACTCTTGTACCACGGATCTATAGCTGTACCTATATATATATATATATATTATATATATATATATATATATATTTATATTATATAAATATATATATATATGCCGGCCGTCTACAGCGTGTGTTTTGTACGCGGGGAAACAAAGCTGCGCCGATTAGCAAAGCATGGCGGAGGTAGTAGGGGCGGTATAATAACTGCACAGATACTTATGACGTGATGGCTTTGGCGACAGAGTGCAGAATATGGGTTATCGATCATGATATTATACGCATGCGCGCAGATGTGATTTGGGGGTAGTACGTGCGGGTGGATGCGTGAGTGTCTGAGATAGTGCTCAGGTATAACGTTAGCGTATGGAAGTAACAATATTACACATTCGACAAGTTAAAATATGAATAAGTATGATAACGGCGGGCTTGGCGAGGTGGAGAACGGGTGTGGGTGGGAGAGCAAGCGCTTTCCAAGTTACAGCCTTGGCAATGGTGGCTTAGTACCACTGATCTATAGTGGTGTACCGTAGGTATACTTATATACTAGTGCTCTGCCATGATTCCCTGTTGACTGACCGTATGTTAAAGGTGCCAATGAATTGGTGTTTTTAAGCAGATTATCGGGTATCTCCGAGCTTGTTCTGGCGACTCTTTGAGAGGCAATCGTCGAACGCTTGATTGTCCGCCCCGGTCTTCATTCAAAAATCGAATAAATTTGATAACTCTTGTCTCAGACCCGTGCTTTGATGCTAACGAGCAGACGCAAGGATAACGCACCTTGAATTTGATGGTGAACGCTGCGAGTAGAGCGTCGCGCTTAATGTGGCCAGATGGCGCCAACACACATACGACTCTTTCTGTTCGACGTTTATGAAACTATTCGACGCGCAAGTCAATGACACATGTATTATAGAATAGTTTATTATTATACGCCGCAAAATATAAATGTATATTAGGCATGCGTACTGAATTTTCTACCTACACTGAATCCCATATGTGCAGTTGAAAATTCTGCGTGGACCAATTAGCGTTAAGGTATTCTGTGTTCGTATGATTACCATAGGATCGCATGCGACGTTCCAATGAATTTTGATATCATCTTATGAATATGCGGGTGTGCATTTCTTGGTGCAGCCGGTTTACAGAACGAGCTAGGGTCAATTTACTTGCCAAATTTCAGTTCTAGAAAACGTCAAGCGTAGTTCAAGTACCTGCTAGTACGACGAATTCCTAACCATTTAAATATTTGAGCCTAGCTGATTCCAGTAGTGGACGCCTAGACGCAGGCAGGCGAGATATACTCAGCTTTATGTTGATACTGCGGTCGGAATCATTTATTATTATTATTATCATTATTATTATAGCCCTGCGTCGGGTGATGTCGTTCGCTAGAAATGAGTTAGTGAGCAGCGTACATTGCATGCGTTGTAATAACATTTTTCTTACGATTCATAAGTGAAGATCAGCTGTCGCGCCATTGGTACGGCACGTAATCTCTCATTGGACGCGGCCGGCATGTACGTATGGCTACCGACAGACGGAACGTTGAGGAATTGGCTTATACACGTGCGTTGTCACTCCGCTTTAAATCAATAAATGAATTGGAGAAAGATTAGGCAGCATGACTCATGTCTCACTGACCGCGTTCTGCCAAATGGTATACTTCGCCTCCTCTGAACTGCTAATCATTCCACTTGGATGATTTAGTCCGTATAGTGCGGCAAACTCATTTGGCGTGTCTATTCCGCTCAGTTTTGTGACAGCTTAGTAGTGAAGGGTGATGAGCTGATGTGTTACGGGTAAGCACAGTGAGTGCATTTCGAGGTCGGCGTGGGCGTTTAGGCATGTCACTGAGAGGGTATCGCTCTTCAAATGCTTTGCCCTTAAGATGTCGCTAACGTTTTCCTTCATCTCATAACGTTTAAGATGTGCGGGGGGGGGGCGGTGGGGGTGTGTGTGTCACTCCCGCCTGGGGCGTAGTTGAGGGCACGGTTCATCACGTCTTATGACGTATACTGCCACAAGCTTTTATTAATCATTTCCCGTAGTGAGGTGTGAGTGTGATATTGATTAATATAATTATGACCCTTAGTTCCGCTAAACCCTAACCCTCAAACCCCTAACCCTTGATTACTAACACTAATCCTTAACACTAACTAGTGCCTGCCACCGTAGCGCGCACTCCTCAAATCTACGCCCGGGGAAAATACGTTATTCCCAGAAGTCCACGCCGACAGAGCCCGGTCGCCCCGGTGACCTGTCTCGTTGACAGATTTCAGTCTCGTTGCATCTATCTGGCGGTATAGATCGTAACGACAAGTACTATTTGAATACGCTGAAAAGTGAGCTCGGGCGCAGAGCTTGCATAATGGCGAATTTGGGCCGCATTGCTATATTGCGTGGCCAGACGCGCCATCGCGCTATAATCGCGCGGCTAGCATTTTTTTTGCACCGCAAAATGTAATACATTACGGAGCGGTCTCAATTGTAATTTATTGGTTCGGCGCTAGCAGCTGCCGATGCGACCAGCAGCGCATAAGCAAGCAGCCGACATCAAACAGCGGGGATGAGCGGCGCGGTTGATGTAGAGTTGTGCGAAGTTGCGGCGCCTTCTTTCGCCGAATCGGTCGCGTGGGGGCCGACACGTGATCAATACTGCGAACGGCTCCGATCCAAGATGCCGGCGGGGGCCGACCGTGGGGGGGGGGGGCGGGGGGTACGTCGGGTTGGCCGTTCTGGATCTGGATAGTTTTCTGCATCAGAAAGAACAGTCAGAAACTTCAGACAGTGCGAGTCAACACCGAAGAGTTTCGCCATTCCTTCTTTCTGAGAACTATTTAACAGTGGAACCAGCGTACTGAGGCCGAGATAGGTCTTATCTGTTCCACTGCCGCTGACGACAAAATCTAAGCGCACACCTCCCTGCCCTACGTAACATATGACGCAGGGAGGTGTGCGCTTAGAAGTTGCAGCGTAGAAAACCGAGCGTGCTGAATTGGCCTTTGCGCAAACTGATGTGGTCGTCCCATTTTAGGTTGAAGGAAAAGTTCAGGCCGAGGTACTTAGTGGTGGTCACTTCCTCTAAGATATGCTTATCCAACTTGTAGAAGAAGGAAAATGGAGTACCAGCTCGTCGATTGATTCGGAGTATGTTACACTTCTTTGTGTTGAATCGCATGCCCCAAGTTGATGCCCAGTCGTGAAGGCGTTCCAGGTTCCGCTGGAGCTCTATCTGGTCAGCAATCGATCTGATCTCTCTGTAGATCAGGCGGTCGTCGGCGAATAGCCTCACTTGAGATACGACGGCGTCAGGAAGGTCATTAATGTGGAGTAAGAAGAGTAGAGGGCCCAACACAGTGCCTTAAGGTACCCCAGACTCCACCTTCACGTTATCCTATGACACTCCATCAATGACGACTTGTTGGGTCCGATCGCTGAAAAAATCCTTGATTCATGATAAGCTTATGTCCCTGATGCCGTACTGATGTAATTTCTTCATGAGTCGCAGGTGGGGTACAGTGTCAAAAGCTTTAATCTAAAGTCTAATACTGCAACATCCACCTGTACCTTACGATCAAAGGAACTCAAAAAGTCGTGTGTGCTCATCAGGAGATGAGAAGCGCATGAGTGAAGCTTACGAAAGCCATGCGGGTAGGCTGAGAGGATCTTATAGCAATCAAGGTGGTCTATGATATGGCGGCTTACGACATGCTACATGAGTTTGCTCGACACACAGGTTAATGACACTGGTCGGTAATTCTCACTGGCATTCCGGTCACCTTTTTTGAATACTGGGGTAACCCTGGATTCCTTCCAATCTGCTGGTAGTTCACCACGCTCATATGATTGTTGGAATATTGCAGTGATTATTGGGGCAATATCATGGGCTGCTTCCTTGAGTAGCCTATTAGCAATGTAGTCTGGGCCACTGGCCTTCGACGGATTTAGACGTTGAAGTAACAACTCGACTCCGTGGATGCTTATCACCAGGTCTAACATAGCTGGGTATGTCTCACCACGTGGTGACGGAACGTTCTCTGTATCCTCCTTAGTAAAGGCTGATTGAAACTGTTTATTTAAAAGTTTGGCCTTAGTACGAGAGTCACTAACTAGCCTGCTGCCTTCACAAATTGGCGAAACACCTGTCAGAGCCGTCATTCCTATTTGACTTAATGTAACGCCAAAAATCTTTGGGGTTATGCTGGCTCAGGCTTGGATCCAGAATATTGGTGATTATCTCCGGTGTGCTGAGTAGATAAGTTTTCGGACGAGTACCTTCTGAGCCTTGTAACACGCACGGGTCTTGTCCGAGGGTTTTCTCTTGGCGAGGTAGAAGAGACGTTGTTTCTTGAATACAGCTTTCTTGATGTGATTGTCAAACCACGGTAAACTGGTCGGCTTCCTGGCAGTAGAATGAGGGATGAGTCGCTTTGTGATGTCTAGTAGCCCAAGCTTAAAGAGTTCCCAGTTATCGTTTACGGAGT